TAATGAACTTTATCATACTATGCTGGCACCTGACATGATGGCAGAAGTTTTGAATCCAGAATTATTCTTCTTTGAGACTGATGTTACTTTCAAGAATAAAGAGGCAATTCTGTCTTGCAAATTAACCCATAGATTCATACCTTTTCTAAAAGCATTAGTTCGAAGTGAGTATATCAACTTCAGCCAGAATAAGAACTTGATCATAAGTATTCATTATTTAGAGTGATAACCATTGTATCAACATATTCATTGAGAAAATGAAAAAAAAACATTTAAAAATGATGAAAGCCCTTCCATATATATATATATATATATATGTATGTATGTATGTATGTGTGTGTGTGCAACAGGAGTATAATTACATGTAGTCAATATATTTATTTATAAATCATTTCATATAAACACTCTCTCTTTTTCTTTCCATCTCTCTCTGTAATATATATATATATATATATATATATATATATTTGGTTGGATTGATGTGAGTTTGTGACCCTGGGTTTCATGCTTTTTGTGATCGTCAGACAAACTGATCAATTTTTAAATTGAGTGCTTTCTAATAAGTACCATAATATATAAATAATTTTTATATATATATATATATATATATATATATATATATATATATATATATATTTATTTATTTATACACACTTTTCACACATATATATATATATATTAACCACCCCCACCACTTCAATGAATTGAAAGTAATATTTGGCTACATCCGTGATACATTTGTCGCTGTCATATTCTCTACAATCACCAAAGATGATATGTCTAAGTGCTGGTTTATCATGACATAAAAAAATAACTTGCCTACCTTCAACCTCTGACCTTATTTTTCAATTTAGCATAGATCTGGTTTTCAATTGGTTAATCAAGACATACCCACAAGTATATTTTTAATTCTGACCTTATGCACCCCCCACCTCTTTAGCTTTCAAAAAAGAGGTAACAGTTTGTTTTTAAATTACCCTAAAAAGTCATTTTTATCACCAGTTACCAACCATCGCCTGAGGAAGTACAATCATAGTATTGAAATATGAAAGCTTTTGTGTAACGATTTAAAATATTTTTATTATAATCTCTTATAATAAAAATATTATAATATATATATATATATATATATATATATATATATATATATATATATATATGTGTGTGTGTATTTGTATTGTGTGTGTGTGTGTGTGTGTATCTTCCTCAAACATTTATTCAATGTGGAGTTCCATGTTGTGTTCCAAGTGATTATCAATGAATTCCATTAATTTCCTTTCACTGTATGTAGCAAATTGAGATTGAATAAATCATATGCATAAATAAATCAAGTTGTAACATTTAAATATTCATATCACTTACATTGTATGCAACATAATCATTATAAATTCATAGGAGACAAATACAGTCAATCATAGAAAGACAAGGATGAACACATTGAGGTCAGTATTTAAGACACTAAATTGCTAATCACAAAGGTAATCTTTGTATGACACAAGACTATATTATAAGAAATGGTTATCAAAGAATTGTCTCCCTGAGTTTAATATGAGATAATACTTCACTGAGTCTTATTAAGGAGTTAATGAATTTGACAAACGGTTGAGAGACTGAGATAAGTGAGGTGGTGTTGAATAGTTTTAGGCTTGAACCAAAAGCTCTTCTCCAAAAAATTTGATGTTTACTTAATTGGACAGATTTTAAGAAATGTGTCAGGCTGAAAACATGTTAGCACTCAATGGAAAATTTAGGCTTAGATGAAGATTTTAAATGGTTCTTCATAATCATTCTTTGGGCTTAGTTGGTTAATGAGGGCTATAGAAAAGAGTCAAACTTTAGCATATCAACTTGGGAGAGTCTGGCAGCTGGTAAAGGACTTGATCTTACAGACCTGCCCCCTTTTTTCTTTTACATACACACATACATATTGCGGAAAGATGAAATGTCCAAGATAACCTTTCCAACTCAGTTTTTCGGAAATGGTTTCCATTTATCAGAGTAAAGTTAAATTTTACTATCTAAGCCTATGATGAGCAGATACTGCTCTTGTGAAACTCCAAATTTGAAAAATAAGTTTGAGTATTTTTAATTTATTCACACTCTTTCTTAATATTGAATATATTTGCAAAGACTGCTTGCCTAAAAATCATTATCCTCAAGAAATACATTAATTGACAATACAGTGATGTACCAGAATCGATGGTGTAGCAGCATGTCAAGATAATTTTACATAGCATATATTGATGCCATGTATGGACCTTTGTTATCTGTCTATATTTCTGAGATAAGGTACACTATTTACATTATTCGGACTATTGTCTTCATCTTTGTTGCCATATTTATTACAACATTTCGACCATTGTATGCTCCAGCCTTCTTCAGGTGATTAGAATGTTGAACTGAACCCTTTATTTCACACACTGGGGTAGACTGTTCTAGTTCCACGTGCCATGTCTAATGGAAGTCAGTTATCAGTTATCTCCTGCTTAATACCCTCTCCAAGTTCTTCACTGTCTTAACCAGATATTGAACTCACACTCTTTGGGTCCTGTCACTGGATCTAACTAACACTTTTATCCACAGTGCCATGTGTCATTGAGGAACTAGAACAGTCTACCCCAGTGAGCAAAATAAAGGGTTCAGTTCAACATTCCAACCACCTGAAGAAGGTTGCAGTGTACAACGGCTGAAATGTTGTAATAAATATGGCAACAAAGATGAGGACAATAGTCCAAATAATGTAAATAGTGAATCTTTGTTGTCAAAAAGGCACCATGCAAGTAGATAAGGATTTGATAATGTTGTGGGAGTGTGTTCACATCACATGGGTTGAGTTATTGACTGGTTCCCATAATATTGCACTTGTATATATTTATAGATTCCAGGTGCACCAACAATGATTGGTGATTCCAGTGCTGGATCATCAAGCTCTAGTTGTCCAGAAGAGGTTAAAAACAAAAAAAAAAACTTCTAATGAATTGTGTAGCCACCACATTAACCCAACATGAGTCCTATTAAACATTTACTCATGCAGTAAATTGTGTATACATATATACATATATACATATATATATATATATATATATATATATATATATATATATATATATATATATATATAGGACATGACTAAACATCTCTTTAGTGGTTTTCAAACTACTTCTGCTATCAATGCAAATTGAGTTGCTGCATTTCATCAGGCCAGAGCTACTAGCTACCTATTCCATAACTTTTGCAAAATGATGCAAAATGTATGGACAATCCTGTATGAGAACTGATATTTCCATAGTCTGATCATTGCTTAAAGTGTGAATTTACCAGTTAGCATGCATTTGTGATTTTCATTATGTTTACAATGGTTTCTGTCTACACACTGCATTATCAATAAGAGCAATCATCCCCCATTAATATCGAACATTTTAAACAAAGTGTGTCTATATTTGTGGAGTAATTAACCATGGTTACTTTATATATTTGACATTTTTATGGTCAGTGTTTATGCCAAAAAATAGGAGACCCTACTATATACAGGTATTTTTACTTAAAGATTTTAAATATTATGTATTTTCAGTGACCAGTTGCATTAAACACTGGTATTTTTTTCTGAGGGGTTAAAATTCATGCAAAAAAAAAATTGGGGGGTTACAATATACATAAAATCAGCTTATACACGAGTATATAGAGTAAATATAATGGGCAAAATGTTCAACAAACAGAATTGAAAAATTCCTTGATAAAAATTAAGAAAAGAATGGCAAAATAATACTAATCAAACAATATATATCCCTCTCATATATATATATATATATATATATATATATATATATATATATATACACATATATGAAGAAATATAGTTTTAAGGTGATTAGATTACCCACAATGCACCATTGACCCATATATATAAATATATATATATATTCGCGGCCTGATGATTTCATCCAAAATGAATTAGCCTGTCACCTCTGAATGTTGACTTCAATGTTCACTTTTATATATATATATATATATATATATATATATATATAATATAAAAGACTCAAACACTAATATTCCATGGTTATAATTTATTATATTGAAATCATAATCACAATCCAATTCACCAGAATCTGTCTTGGACATTGAGTTCTACTTGCCTGTCATATATATATATATATATGCAAGATAAAACTAGGTAAAGCAAGAGCAATGAGTCAAAAAGTTCTTAAAGTAAGAATGATTTTCACATGCAAAAGGGATACAGACAATTGATTGTAGCATTCTGACTTCAAAACAAGAAAGACCAAAAATATGGCTGATGAAGCTGAGAAATCCCAGCATGCTTCTTTACAATGTGTTAAGTTTTTGGAGATGCTTTTAGCAATCATTGCACTAGATAAAAAACATATATATGCAGGGTGTTGCAGCAAAATCCGACACTTGACAAAAAGAAAATGAAATAGGCAATAAAAACAAAAGTTGAAATATGGAGAGACCCGACAGTTTATTTAGCAACAGTTAGAGTTACATACAACATTATTTGTCAATGTAACCACCACCGGCAGTGACAACCATCTCAAGGTGGGTGTGAAATGAGTCACATGCTTTAGTGACCATGTCGTTGTCCATAGCAGTGAATGCCTCCACAATGGCAGCCTTCAGTGAGTTGACCATGTTGTGGGCATGTTTGTTGGTCTTGGCCTCGATCATGCCCCAGAAGAAATAGTCAAGTGGGTTGCAGTCAGGTGAGGAGGGTGGCCACAAGTCCAGAGATCAGTGGTTAGGAACATTGTTTAGCAGACACGCCTGGGCCTTGTGTGCTGCAGCAGAGACCTGCTAGAAGATGTAGGGGCATCTAGCGGCGATCTCATGCATCCAGGGCTTCACCATGCTCCTCAGCATCTTCTGGTAGATCTCAGCGTTGACTCTCAGGCCCTTTTGAAAGAAGAATGGAGACATGATGTCCCCCTCATTTGAGATGACACCAAGGACTATGACAAAGGAGGGAAATTTTGTATGCTTCATGACGGAACCACTTTGATGTCTTTGTAGATCCACCTGCCGTTCTGCCTGTTGTGTGTCTGGCCCTGGGTGAAATTCTTTTCATCAGAGAAGAAACTCTGCATCCCGGTAGACCCATGCTTCAGCTCATTCAGCAAAGTTGCCACCTTGGCCTTCCTCGACTCCTTGGAGGCATTCGTGATGAGCTTGTGGTGAGACTTGCAGTAGGAGGAGTAACTAATGTCCTTCTTGATTGTTTGGCAGATCGTCAACATGTGACAGTCCATGTCAGTGGTGATCTTGATGTAGCTCTGGCTTCCATCATTGTTGACTGTCTCCTTGACAGCAACATCAAACTCATCGGTCCTAACAGCTGAAAAATCTACATTGTGGGCCTTTTGTTTGGCAGTAAACTCATCCTTGTTCTCACATGCCGTCCACATCATCCAAGTGTCTATGACCATGGTTCTCTTGAACCCAAACCAGGCCATCACTTCTGCAGGCTTCTTCCCGACACGAAAAGAAGCTACTACCGCTGCTCTGCACTCATATTCCATCCTGGAAAAAGGTAGAGAGAAAACCATTATTTAGCTGTCAAACTGTTGGGTATCTGCATATACAACTTTTGTTTTTATTGCCTATTTCATTTTCTTTTTGTCAAGTGTCAGATTTTGCTGCAATGTCATATATATATATATATATATATATATATATATATATATATGATAAAAGTATAGTTTAAGGTATGCTATATTTAGGGTAAAGTTGCTCAATATCAGGTGTGTAAATTGTATTCAAGCCTGAAATAGACTGTTGCTGCTTTCTTGATATTAGTGTCAACTTATATATAAATGAAAAGATAATATGAAAACTGTTTGTGTCAATGCATTTACAGCGTCAACTCACTTTTGTTTAATAAGCTAATAGATTATGTCTCTTAGCATCATCTATATTTTACCTTACTTTAGTTTTTAGAATATTTTACATCCTCTTCTAATTTAAGATTTGAAACCTTAAAGTTTTCTTTACTGCACATCTGTGTATGAATACAGGTTACTAAATAAAATTTCTGCCTTCAACATGAGAAAGTTCCTCAAAGAACAAAATCTATCGATATAAAAGCTTTTCCACTTGTCTTTTCTTTTATTTATATTGTCTTTACAGATGTTTCTGAATTTTTACAAAGAAATATCTGACATATGAATTAACATTCCATGGTAACTAAGTTTCACACCTCTAAATCTTTGTATTAAATGTCTTTGTCATTTTCTTTTTATTTGAATTCTAATAATTTATAAAAGCTTCAGTATCAGATTTTTGTCTTTTATTTTAATGACTGCAGTGAAGAACAAGATATATTGAGATCTTTTTTTAATGGTCCCATAAAAATGTGAACTTTTGTCATATTTTGCATATTGTGGTAAAGTAAACTAAATATGCTGTAGTTAAGTTCCAATTATTTTTAATGACTTCTTCAATTCTGTCAGTCACCTGTTTCGTTGGTAAATTATAAGCATCATCTTTCAGTGTATGCATATTCATAAATCTATAAACCTTACTTTTTACATACAAAAATTGTTTAAAATTTAAATGTAAGCCATGGCACCTTATTTTGTCACTATTGTGAATGTACATGAATTTCAAATACATATCAAGAAGGGAAACTTTCAAACATCAACACGATAGCTATATTTCTCTTTCCTTTATAAAAAAGAATGGCCATGGCATGTAGATTTTGGTTGGAAATCCTGAAATACCCCTCTACACACAAATGACCTTCTAATGTAACTCTCTGCCTCAAGTGACCTCCAGGCCTTGTAAAGGTTGACTCTCACTTTTAAAAAAAATTGATAAGAATACACTAATAACAAAATCCATTTCTCTGAGTTTCATGTAATAGGTGAATATATAAGAGACTATATCCATTTGATAATTGCTATTACATGAAAATCTAAGTATCAGATATTGATATCTATTATTATTATTATTATTATTATCATTATTATTATTATTAATATTATTATATGTTATATTTATGCTCTGTCAAATTTGACATTGATTTTTCAGTTTATTTTATATTTTATTCTTTAGCTTTTAGTCTTCCTATTTTTTTTGTGTGCATAATACATATATATATATATATATATATATATATATATATATATATATATATATATATATATATATATTAAAGGAAAACAGACCACTTTAAGGTTCCATTATAATAATTTATTTCACCAGAGCCCTTTTAAAGGATGCTGGATCATCAGATAGCACTTCCAAATGATAAAATAAAAAATGAAATGAAAATTCACACTTTTGATGGGTAGTATGAAGGTTTTGTAATTTAAGAGAGAAGGTAAGAAGGAGTGGTGTGAGAGACATGATCGAGTTTAGAGAGAGTTTATTTTAATATTTCTTTCAATCATACTTAGTATTGGGGGAGGAGGGCCTATATATATATATATATATATATATATATATATATATATATATATGTGTGTGTGTGTGTAGCCAATATTGTTAATTACATTTTGCTGCTTCATTTAATGTATTACCAATAATTAATTCTGCTTGAATATGTAGCTCAGCTTAAGAAATTTTATAAAAATTAGAATAAGAAGACTTAGAATTAGTGGATGGCAGAAGTTACCAATAAAGAATATTTAAAATAACTCAGATGCCAAACAGATATATTAAGAATCTGCTTGAATGAACTGACCGACTGTTGTTTCGACTGTCTGCTTGGCTAACAAACCAGTTGGTTTGTTTGTGTATTGATCTGTGGGTCATCAATCTAATTGGCAAGAGAAGATAGAAAAACAAACAAAACAAGAAAAGCAGTGAAAGGTAAATGGTTGAGCTGAGTTATAAGAAATACAAAACACACCCTATTACAAAGAGAGAAAATCAAAAATGGGAATAATTGCATTCAAGCCTTGTTTGTTTTCTTTGTATGAAGGATTTGATAATTGATTTATTTTTTAAATATTTTCCTTCTTATGTTGACTTAGCAAAAAAAAAACAGAAAATGGTATTTTGCTACTGAAACTGTGCCTTGAGTTTCCCTATCTGGAAATAATGAAACCTTGAGGACAATAAAAGAAAGTGGGCCTAAGCCACACAAGAAAAAGACAGAATTAGAAACCATTAAGTAACCAACCCCAACTTAATAAGATAAAAAGTGTTTAATAATCCAGAAACCTCCAGTAAGAAAGATGACCTAGAATAGATCTAGATTCCAATGCAAAAATTATAGACAGAAAATCTCCACCATAACTTCTCTTTAAACAAATACCTCTAAATCCAATTAAATAACTCTGACCAGCTTGACTCAACACAGTTAACTCTCAGTATCAATAGCACTGATCCAATCCAAAGAACTAGTCAATATAATTGGAAACTGCCTGTAGCCAGAAGGTAAGACACTAGTGGCATCACTGATATCCAAATCATATTATAATGATATGACCTCTGCTATTGTTTCCAGTATGAGGTATTCCTAAGTTGTCACCTATTTAAGTTCTTACAAGGTTTGAGAATGCTAAACTGTTAAGAACAAATTCTAACTGGTGCCTTCAACATAATAGCAAGCATATAAACCTAAGAGTCTTGGCAAAGATCATTCTTTTTGAATATTGGTGACTGACTGTACAGAATCACAAATGAAGAAGTCTACCAAATAACAGAAACCACATCTCCAGAGCAACAGTATTACAAATAGTGAACTGAAGATCATTCTGAACAGGCTTGTTTCCAGATACTTTCACATGAACACAAGTGTCCCTCAGGGCTCTATCCTTGGTCCTATACCTTTTCTGATCTTCATCAACGATGTCATCAGTTTCCAACTAGGCATTTATGCAGCTAACACTACCATCTATTCATGTCTCAGTAACAAATCAGCCAGATCTAACAATGTTAACCTGGCTACTGCTCTTGAAAAGGACCTTCCAGCCTGTGGTTAACTAGGGTAGGAAATGGCTGGTAAATTATAATGCCTCCAAAAATGAAACTACTCTCATTTAACCACCATAGAAAAGCTTTCTTGTTCACTATCAGCAAGGATGATGCTTGACTCCTGGAGAGTGTTTCACTGTGTCTACTTGGCCTCATGTTTTCAAATGATTTGAAATGGAACAAGTATATTGATTCAATACATGCATCTACAGTAAGGAAAGTTGGTTTGTTGCGTCATGCTAAAAGATTTTCCTTGTCCATCTTGCACATTTACAAATCTATTATTTGGACTGAATATTGTTACTGTTATGGTCCGGTTCCTTGTACCACGGTGATAGTCAAAGGTAGAACCAATAAAGAAGAACTCGAACACGGATATGGAATAAAACAGATATATTACTAACAGGAATATATACAGAGAAGTAGAAAGTGTTAGTACAAACAATCAGGTTTAGTAGTACTTGTCTGAATGCGACTCTGTTTTGGACTGCCTCTGACTCGACTGACTGACTGGCTTGCTCTGACTGACTGACGGACCTCACTCCAGACTTCAGACTGAACTCTCTGCTTTCTCTTGAGGCACAATATTTATTACGTATGGAATAGTCCATTATGTTATTATGGATAAGGTCCCATAACATATTTGGTCTGGTGCTCCTGCTATTAATCTCAAGGTTCTTAACAAAACCCAAAGAAGGATCTGCAATGTAATCAATCCTGATTTGGCATTTTGACTTTAGTCACTTTCTCAGCGATGTGGCTTCCCTCTGTCTTTTCTACAAATATTTTTCCCGACTACATGAATTTAAGCATACTACTAGATTGGCATTTAGGTTCCACCTTTTGACTACTGAAATACTTAAATGCAACCACTACTTCTACTTCAACAGTTTCTTTTCTTGCAATTCCTGACAGTGAGACTCTCTTCCATTCACTTGCATCCCTGAAAACTACAATTTTCAAAAATTTAAATGCAATGACAATCACCATCTTCTGTTGACATGATCACTCTTTTTATCAATCCTGCCTATACCCTTTTCTCTGACATTCACTCTCTGTAACCTCCTGTGTACTAATGGCATTCCTGCCTTGCTTGGGATGAAATGACTTAAAAAAATATATGAGGACTACCTACATATTAGATGTAACTTGAAGAGAAAATAATACCGAGTCTTGGTTTAAATTACACCTTGGTTGATTTGTCAAACATGTGTCTCCATGATGTTATTGTCCAGGGAGATAAGTGTCAATGTTGTGAAGTGTCCGAAAACCACACAACATACTGATCCAAAACTGTAACAAAAGATTTCTGCATAGTGGCCTTGTTCAACTATTAATCATGCCAAATTATGCTTGCTCCCTCTCAGAAATGGTAACTAAGTTCTACTGAGCATAGCTGCAATATAAACCCTAGATTTGCTCTTGGTGTTGAAGAAACACGAATATACCTGGAAATTGTAGTCAGCTATTACATAATATTTATGCATGTGTGTGTATGCATCATCTTCTATATGCCATGATGCTTCAGGAGGGTGGGTGATCACAGCTTGCCATAAATTCCTGCCCTATATACCTCTTCGGAAAATTGACTTTTTAC